GGAAGAAATGTAGTCCGTCCAATCACAGTAAACGCATCTTTCCCACGTGACACTTTATAAACATTGTGGGAAGCGAACACGGTAAGATATATCTGCAATTAGAAGTTATAGATGTAGGAAATTATATATTCGTTTTCACCATTTTTTTAATAGGCTTACAGAGGGTCAGTTCGGTCAACATTGATATAAATTGCTTTCAATAATAATAAAACGATATAAATGATCCATAATTAATAGGTAATCCTTCTTTCCATGGCACTTGTCAATTCGAAAAAGAAAAAAAAAAAAAATATATATATATATATATATATATATATATATATATATATATATATAAGAATGTTAAAATTATAACGGAAAATTGTTATAATAGAACCTGGCTTGTCATTGGAACAGCTTTTAATGGGCTTTTCAGTAAAGTATGAAACACAAAACAGTTAATGAAACGGCTGTTCTAATGTAAAATTTTAGGTAACGTACAACAAAAACAAACCATTGTTATGGACAATTATTTTTTAATAACACATTATATAAATTTAAAACGCGACTGACAACTTGGCCTCTCAAAAATGAAAGAAAATATCCTTGTCCTGACAAAATAGTTGCCCTGACCTCTTTAGTACAAGACAGTTCAATCTTACTCACCTGTGCCTACACACTTTGTTTTACTAGATGTCAGTGAACAGCTGTGTTACGTCTATCCGGCTTGATTCCCTCAAGCAAGCTGATAAACCACAGATCCACCTGTTACCTTGTGAAATAGAGCATGATGGACCTGCTGAAGTCTTCAAGTTCTTTAATCCCACTGTGAAGGAACACAAACACGGTTAGTCAAATACCAGTGCACGGCTCGAGAACGAAACGCATTAAAGCTCTCCATCCAATAAAAATGACATTGTGTTTTGCAGAAACAACAGTGTCATTCAGAGGTCGAGGGCTGAAGGGTCAGGAATTGCATTGTCCACAAGGATATACAGGACTAGTGCTGAAAGAGGTCCAAAAGCCTGCATCCGATCAAGAGGTGACATGATCTGCACTTTTCTTGGAAATATACATATATGATCTACTAAATTACACTTTGTTAACATAAATTGTTTTGGCATTTGCTTTTAGGATAGAATAGTTAAAGTTTCTTCAGTGTTCCATAATTTCACATACTGGAACTTGGAGACACCACCCACATCTGATGATGGAGTTGTGATGGCTATGGCATGGCCTCAGCTCGCAGAAGCGGTAACTCTTGATAACCACTTATTTACATAATTAGAATCTGATTTTCAATTTAATTCGAGAAACATTTTCTCTCAATTGAATTAAAATGTCTAAACTTCTTACTTCTTTCTGCAGATGCACAGACCAGTAGACGAATGATAATGGACTTTTTTTATTATTGTGGATACCTGCTTCTTTTCAAGTACATTGTTACAGTAAAACCAATGTGAAAATGATTCTTTTCTGGAAGTCAGAACAGCTAACTCGCTGGGATGTGAGTACCAAACTGATATTGACCAAACTCGCTACCAAACTGATATTGAAGTATGAATGTCATAATGTAATATGACTAACTATTAAAATTTTGTTTTATTGTTTACCTTGTGCAAGCTTTTACTTTCGCCATATATTTGTCCATTATTTACCAGTAAGTAATACTTTTTGATCTGATATACCCTACCATTTTAAATTTTGGAGTCATTGAGATGTTTTTTACATTTCTGATTAAAGTCTCTTATGCTCACCATGGTATTTAATGCTGATTTGGTGCCTAAGAAATATTACTACGAATGTTGTAAACATTTGTTCTGCTTAATGTTTTTGTAGAAAACAAATTGTTTTAGGATAATTTGATGAACAGAGAGTTCAAAAGGAATCAGTTAATTTGAAATAGAAATTATTGCAAATTGTTACATTATAAATGTCCTTAGTCACTTTTGAGCAATTTAAAGTGTCCTTCCTTCACGACTAAAATAATTTATTATATTTTTCTTACCGACACCAAACTTTTGAATGGGAATGTAGTTCTCTACATTTTATTTTAACAAATAAATGGACTGATCCCAAAAGCTGGTTTTAATTTATTGTACCTGTAAGAAATGTTTCACCATCTTTCCCTCTCACACAAAAAATGCACAGAACACATATACAGAAAAACTCTTCCTTGTAGTGAGACAGTCATCTATCTGCTTTAACGGATCTCAAAGTTCCCCTATTATGCTATTTTAAAGGTTCCTAATTTGTTTTGGAGGTCTCCTACAATAGATTTACATGCATCAAAGGTCGAAAACATTTAAATTTTCTTATAATATGTGTTGCACCTCACCTCATTTCTCAAAGAGTCTGAAAATAGTTTGGTCGAAGATTCAGTCTCTCTAAACCCCTCTGCACTGATTGGCCAGATGGCCCAGTCTGTTGTGTCTACCACTTACAGTGCATATCAGAAACAAAATGCCTATTACCATATACTAATTTCAGCTCTGGAGGCTTCCTCAGGGCTTGATCCACAGTGATACGAACAATGACATAGGTTTTTCCGTCTCAGTTCCAGCGCGAGTCCAGATCCTTTTGAAGCACATGTAAAATGGATTTGCAGAGCTGAAAACAGCATCTTCTCGTTATGTCGACAACACGAACCAAACTTTTCAAGGTCTCAGCTACATCTACAGTGTTGGAGGGCAGGACAAAGTAGATGTCGTTCACAGGCAGCCAATGAAGACCATAGGCTGGCATTATGCAAAATATGTTACATTGTTACATTGGTATATAACACTGGTAAAGTAATATTTTAAAAGCATAATAGGGGGACTTTAATGCTTATTTCTTGATATACCAGCAACAGTACGCCTTAAGAGACAAAAAAAAATAACATATTAAAATGCAAAACACCATGAACGGGAATTAATTATTAAAAGGTTTCAATATACTAGGTCTGTGTGCTAGAACCAATCTTGGTTTAGTTTTCTTTTTATAAAAACAATTTACCAATGAAGATTAAAACCAGGTTGTGCAATACAAATATCAAGAACTACAACTAGTGAATTAACAACAAAAACCTTGTTTTTGTTACATTGGTTCTGTTTGTATATGGCATGGGTCAGTCAGGTGGAATCCTTTCCAATGCCTTTACTGTTTTGAAGGATGAGCCACAAATGTATAGACGTGGCACTTTATGTTTTTGTGACATTTGCAAAAGCCTTCAGCAGGATTTTGTGTAATTTTCGAAATGACCAAATAAAAAGATTGGACCACAATCAATGGCTACGTCTGATGAGGAGGAGGAGGCGGCGGTGGTGATGGTGGTGGAGGGTCCGACTCAACTCTGCTGCGTTTGACTGGCAGGTCGTGATCATGTGCCTTTCTGATGTGCCTGTACAAGTCTCCAGACTGTGTGTAACTGCGGTAACAGTAGCTGCACTCATACGGCCGCTCCCTGGTGTGCACAATGGCGTGTCTCCTCAAGGTGTAAGCACAGGAAAAGGTCTTTCCGCAAGTGATACAAGTAGGCACATCCTCCATGTAACTCCCAAGGGAGTCGTGAATATCCTCGAGGTACAAGGTCTGTTGCTCCGGGTGGGAATTGGCAGGAAAAAGGGATGATGGCAAGCCAGCGGTTTCGGCTGCAGAAGGATTTGGACCTTGCGGTGAAGGAGGGAAAGAAATGGGTTCCTGATGGGGAAGATGAATTAATGGGTGTGCTGTTATAAATTGAGTATCAGTAAGCTCCTCAACATCACGGTTGCTGTCGTCATAATCATCCCCATCGTCTAAATCTTCATTTATTCTTGGGCCATTATCCATGTCCACCGTCTCGTCTGTGTCATCAGACTCTTCATCAGAAATCACAATGGCCTCTACTTTCACTTCAAAGCTCTTTTCATTTTCCTCCCCTGAAGTTTGTGAAAGATTTCCTCCCCTAAAGTTTTGTGAAAGTTTACGCTTATTTTGCATCCTACTTGTATTGGACGAAGTGTTTTCATGTCTCCTCTCGTTTTGGCTCTGAGTGTGCTGTGATGACCCTGGATTCCCAGAACTTTTAGTCTGAACTTGGGGTTTTAGTATTTGAGTCGGCATGAAAACATTAGGTTCAAGTTCTTGGGCAGCGGTGGTGTTGTCCACACTGCTCAGAGCCACGGCAGTGGCTACAACAGGTTGAGTGTCTGTCTGAATTAGTTCTGTTGTACTACACGGACTTGAAAGTGCAGACTCAAGGCTAGCAGACCGTGCCGATATTCTTGTTTTGTCAGGTCTAGGCGATGAACGATATGTGGATGGTCCTGAACAAGAATTACTAACAGCTGGTAGCGAGTCCATTCCTGGTTGGGTGGTGTCTGCCATCTCTGACCTCTCCACGCTGTGTGTGAGGAGGTTAGCCATCCCTGCTTGTGTTTCAGTCTTGGTATTGATATAAAGTGACATTTGTTGGCTCGACTGATGACAATGTTCAAGTCCTCCATCTCTTCCTGTTTCTGCGCCAGGTACATCTTTTCTAGGCGAGCCATCAAGCCCTCCAGGTTTAGCAGGCTCATTTGCACCAACTTCTACTCTAGTGCTATCCGCCTCAGCCAATCCTCGGCCCTGAAGTCTTCTCTTACAAACTCGCACCACATCATTCATATGTAAGAAGCTGGCTGCGGCGAGCACGTCCTCAGGAGGGGGGTGGGTTGCTAATTGCAGTACTCCTTCATACATGAAATCAAGAAGGAGTCCAAAGGCTTGCGGGGTCACGATATCTCCATTAATAGTGACTGTGTCTCTCTGTGGCCCTCCATTAACTGTGCTGGTATTTCCTATAGACTGATCTGAGTAAAACATATGGAAGAAAGGAGAGAAAGAGGCCAACACTGCACGGTGGGCTCCAAAACGAGTTGGGCCGACCTGCACGGTGCAGTCACACAGGAAACCTTGCAGACGCTGAGAGCGCAGGCTGGCCAAGAGCTGCTGACTATGTTCTGGGAACTCCATTTCTACTGACTACCTAGTAAAAATAGTATTCATTAATGTTATAATCCAGAAGATGTATTGTATTGTTAATACAGTGTATATATAAATGAAATATTCTAAAATATCGTTTTAATATGATAAAATTCATAATATTAGCAACTACTTCTTGTTAAGATGAAATGTTTCTTACAGAAATGTCCAGAGTAATGACCAAGTCCCCTCGTCCGCTTTAACATCTGCTGCTTTGACGCACCATCATGTTTGCTTTATTGATCCATTGACATTCTCTTGATATCAACAGTTGTTCACTAATCCATGCCAGTAAATGTATAATTCAATCCTAAAGGAATACAAACTATTTCATAATCTTCGTGTATTCTTCACACAACATATTTCTATGATGGCTTAGTACAGCAAACCTTCTCCGGAGTACCGTGATATGACATGGAAAGCGTCCTTAGTTAAAATATCTTCCAAGACAACCTCCTGAATGGTTTATTGATTCTCTGTAAGTGGAGACCAATGTGTGAATTTTTAAAACGTATATGCGATACGAGAGTGTTTTCCTTTAGGACAATACATGACGAACACACACTTCTACATGTAGTATATTCAGCTTGTATATGCAAGTGTGCTCTGCCACCTACTGACGAGGAGGAAGACGAAAGAGGAAGCAACATTTGTTCTGTGATTACGGTGATTACAGAAAAACATTTTCTACATCTTTACTAAAATATTGTAAAATTTACTAATATATACTATTATTATTATTATTTTATAAGCCATAGGAGGAAAACAAATCACATGTCACATAAATTAACATTTATTTTATTTTAAGTAACGAAATTATAAACTATACACTTTACATGCAACTAGTTTTAACTATAACCCTTTCACCAGTAAAAGTATTTTACTAATATATTAGTTACGTCATCGATGGTTTTCGTCTGTTGCTTCACACACTGATAAGTTACCCATGATTCTCCTGCCGTCTCTCTGCCGCTTATTCAAAAATGGAGGAGAGTGAGAGAGAATCGGAAAGTGAGCGCTGTTCAGCACCTTCTCAAACATCTGAACAGCAAACCACTACTGAGACCCCGGCCAAAAGCTAGAGACTGGCGAAGATGATGTCGAAACTAAGTTGGATATCAGTTCGGAAAAGTTTGACCCCTTACTCGCTCTGTATTCCCCGAAAGTGCCGTTGCCTTACCCGAACATCAAGTGCTTTAATAACATAGCAGAATATGAGAGCTTTATGAAAGGCGGTCGAGGCCGAGCGAAACCAGAAAATGTGGAGAAAAGACTCCGAAAAGCACAGAAAGGTAAAGCAGACCCAGAGAGGATAGAGAGGCTGAAGAAACTCATGGTGCACAACCCGGTTGAGGAGGAGGGAGAGGGAAGCGGAGTCAAGCGACCACCTCGACAGCGAAAAGCGGCCAAAAATGTGCTTACCAGAATGCCACGTACGTTTCTCTCTTTACTGTCTATGTTAGAGGACAAAAGTAAACAATAGAGGGTAGTAAACAATAAACTGTGGATTCTAAGCCAAAAGTGCTAGGTGAGTTATTTAGTGCTGTCTAGATAGGTAAATAATTATAGCTCACTAGGTTGTGTCTATCTTTGCAGTGCATACAGGCAGTCCATTAGGAGAGCTCAATAGGTGCGTCCAGGAGAAAATCAGAGTTAAAGTTCACATCCGGACCTTTAAAGGGCTCCGGGGAGTGTGTTCTGGCTTTGTGGTGGCATTTGATAAATTCTGGAACCTGGTAAGTATTAAAACACCTTTAC